TTTTGGAATTATTATGTGATGTGGACTAGCATAGCTCATTAAATAGTCAGATGGATGAAATGTTTATTTCAGACTAGACTGGATGACACTGTTTTATAGATCATGATAATTACGAGTCTGGTGCACCTTACCTGTGCGATACAACAAGGGGCAAAGGTTACGCAAAGGTTAGAACTAGGGCTAAATGATGCCCTGTGGAATTACAAGCCTTAGATCATCTAATCAGCTGAGCAAATAGTGGGTCAAAATAAAAGACTTATTTATATAATTCATGCTAAGGTTCAATAATCTGAAACAAAATTGACTACCAAAGAATTAATTGATTTGAAAAATGTGCCTGAGATGAAGAGCCTAATATCATAGATCAAGAGCACATAAGTGAATCGACTTAATATAAATAATCAGTGAATCAACTTAATATAAATAAAAATTCCAAGAGTCAGAGCCATATGTAATCTAATGTTGAAACATCAAAGCTGACTATTTTGCCCCCAATTTACAAAAACAACAAAGCTGACTATTATTTTTTCAATGCACAAAGCTGACTTTTATGTAATGAGAGCTTTTAAATAATTTCATAGATTTAATCTCAACCAATTACAACAATAATAAGAATATAGTAATAACACAACATGAAATTTGATACAAACAATCATGCACTTGATCTTTGATGATAACATCTCCAACTCTCACATTATCTTGGCTGAAGAAGCCAAATATAGATCCAGAACCATAATGGATTTTGCAAGATGTTCCTATATCAGAATGGAACAAGAAACCTGATATTATGGTTCTATCAGCATGCACAACACCAGAATCTAGCTTTATTATGTATATAGGAAAAGTATTTGGTTAGCTTTCTCATCTAAGCAGTGAGCAAACTAGGGATATCTTCAATATACAGCTCAATTGCAGTAAACAAACAAATGCAATTAATCTCACATTTCCAACCTAATACCCACCATATTAGTAATCCCATCACTCAATCCCACCGAATTCATAATCATAGTGAACCTAATCCAGATATCAAACACAGCCAAAACATTATCGATCAATGTATCAGAAATGTAGGACTGTGCCCCAGGAAAAGTGGGACGAAAGTTGAACTGCATTAAGGCATTGGATTCAAGGCAGATGACAACATTGGTTCACTTTTTATTTAAAATTTCAGGGGGGAAAAAAATTCCAAGAGTCAAAGCCATATGTAATTACATTAATTTCACCCTTCTGTCTTCTATATTTTAATATTTATTTTCACTTTTGAAGACCTAAGACTAAATGGTGACATCTAGTGAGAAAATAATATTGATGACAAAAGTTAACAACAAGAATTGACTTCAGAAAAAAGGAAGGAAAAAGAAAAAAATAATAATCAGTGATTGGGAAAATAAATACATTATTCTGGTTCCACTTACCCAATTGACACCAATTCATTCAATCTCTGAAGATCCACAGGTTTCTTGAGGGGTGTCATTCCATAACGCTTTTGCTCCCTGCAATCTTTGACACATAAAAAAGCATACCAAAGAGGATAGAAGTTGATTCAATATTAGATTAGAATGAAACTCACATGATATCAACAAAATAGCAAATTGATAATCAAAACAAAATACGAAGAAGGAGCGATTGCCGATGAAAATTAACAATATAAATGGCTGCTTTTCATACTAGTTTTGTTCTATCTCTGGTTTGATGCTTTCATTTTCAAGCATCCAGATGAGTTTGGCAGCTCGCAACCTACTGCAAACAATGCCTACAATTCCATCTCTTCATCTTTTCGACGAATTTTCCAACTAAGATAACAAATCAACCACTCTTCCCACTTTAACCCAGATCCGATACTCTTATCAGCAACCCAAATCACTGCAGAGATTAAAGTTCATGAGTTTGCATCATCAAGTCTAGTGTGTAAAATGATTAAACTTTGATCATAGTACAGAAACAACTAAAATGGGAATTCAATGACACTAAGAGCACATACTCACTGATTACCATTTATAGCTAAAGAATTTCCCACTAAGAAGGAACTAAGAAAACCAATCAACATCCACAAAAATAAAAAAACAAAAAAGAAAACTAAAAACAGAGGAAAATTGGGAGATCTTAAAAAATAAAATATTGCTTACCTTTTGAGAACCAGAAAGGTCAGTGTAAGTAGGAAAATCCGACTACCTAAAATGAGGAGACTTTGAGACAGAGAGAGAGACCGTTAAAAACTGTTGCTGAAACCATTAAAAACTATTGTTGAATGATATAATTGAAGAGAACATACAACATAAATATATGAGAATGAAGAGGCGAGTTGGCTTTACGGAATATTCAGTGCACAGACAAAACTAAAAATAAAATAAAATAAGCATTCAAAAAACTACCCAAGAAAGATGTAGAACCAACAACCATTTATGAAAACCCCAACAACCCTTCAAGCATTAGTCAAACACTCACTCAAAAGTTCAGTGAACTCTTTGAGAACATCTCTCAAAAAAGACTACTCATCATCATCATCATCGTCACCGTCACCGTCATCTTCAAACTTCAGCTCCAGCAACTATGTCAATCCTGTTCTTGTGGGTTCGTCAGAATCAAAGAAAAGAAACTGAGAAGTTTGTGTACAGAGATTGTGAGACTGTGTTTCCAAGAAACTAGATAGAGAGTAGACAGTGAGTGTGTGTGTGTTGTGTTTTCTAAAAAGAAAATGAAATGAAATAAAAGATTGCTATGAAGAATGAATGAAATAGAAGAGAAGAGAATAAAATAGAGAAGGGAAAAATTGGAGAGGGATGACAATGCCAACCCACTACTACCTTCCAACCAGTCTAATTTCATCCAGAACCGTCTTGTCCTCTCTCCCAGTTAGATCCTCCTTTTTCTATTTTTATAGGGTAAATTACGCAATAGAATTTGAGATTTGATTAAAAATTAACGAATCTTTTTTTATAATTTTAAAAATTACATTTCATCTTTGAGATTTTAATTTCATAATAAATTAAAGTTTTTATTAATAAATTATCAAGTCAATTAATAATTTTTAATGATGTTAGAAATATATTATCAAGTCAATTAACAAGAGAAATAGGCTCTATTTTGTATTCATATTAATTTCAATCGCAATCAGAACTGGCTCCTCCAAGATTTTGGAAGATATTATCACAAAATAAACGTAAATAAAATTGATAGATAACTAATTAAACTAACCTAAAGTAAAAGTCCCTGGAAATGCATAACCATCAGTGCTGAACATCACCTGCAAATTAAATTATAGTGAAAATGAAAATTGGTATGAAATTAATAAACAGAGAACCGAAAAATTCGAGGACTACAGTTTACTTCCCATTGCAGAGACTGAAAAATTCTCATAAATTCCTTACCATAACAGCCATGGATCCCACTGGTTTATATGGGCATGAATATAGGACTACTATAAGCATGTCCAGAATCTGCGAGTGATCCTACATGGAATTCGCTTACTAGAGAAAACACTGTACTAGACATGCATGAAGAGGAGGAAAATAATATGTAAGCCCTACTAGTTGAAGAGGAAAAGTAATTACCCTCGAGGAGGTGCGATTGCCGTTAAGTGGCCTGCTAGGATTCCTTAAAAAGAGCACCAGCAGGAGCTGCTGTTTCAAGATCTGGATAAGAAAGTAGCAGAAAATCTCCAAAAAGGAGCTGTCTCACCCATCTTTTCCCGTTTCAAAGCAATCTGATAAATTGCATGAGTTAACGTTGGTTCATACATGCTCAACAAAAAGAGGAATGCATTATACTGTGGAAAAAAATTCAACCACACAGGTCAAATAATTTTCCTCAGGCCTCTAACGCTATACTCAAAAGGAATCCCTTGTACGACATTGTCATGCAATCAAACCACCAACATAAACATCTCCCTAGATGCTTTGAGCATTGATGCGAAGCTGTCTGAGGTTCTTTACAGACTTCACTCTTGCTCTACTTGATCTCCGTCTAAAAAATTTCTAACCTACTAACCAACTCACTGCCCCCCCAACATATAACAGAAAAAAGATAAACTAATTCAAAATAATGTATACTTATTTCTTCAGGTCTTTTTTCCTTTTGATATATAAATATTAGTAAAAGTAGTAAGGAGAAGTGTAGTAAGGAACAAATGCGATCATTTTTTGCTGATGGCATAGAAAAACATGAATACTGGCATGCTCACCATCCTGCATTATATAAGTGGTCATGTGAGATGTGGGACGCCATGCTACAAAAATGCTCATCATCACCAAAAATAAGGCAGCAGTATATTCTATTATACCTTTTTTTCCCTCCTTTGGTAAGAAATTGAACAACGATCCAAACCTAAACCAGACATTTCGCGTCTAATGCCGTCTCTGAAATTGGATCTTTTAACATCTTAAAAGCAAGAATGGGGAATTAGCAAAGGAAGACAAATTCACTTCTCCAGTAGACTGTGTGTGTCTGACTTATTACACCTCACATTCCAATTAACCTCTAACTTATTGCAAACCCCAATATTCGGGCTGAACGTCATTTACACTACCACATTTGGTCTTAACGCAGCACCATTACTTAGTGTCCACTTTTAATAATTTGAAAAACATAACAGCTTGTTTGGTTCTGAATTTTCATAAAACAGTTTTCTTCAAAATTATTAACCCTTTTATTTTTCGTATTTTAATATTGTCATTAAATTGTTTTTAATGATTTTTAAAAACAATTTTTTTTTTAAATTTTTAGAACACACCTAATCTAAATATACTAAAACTATAATTTATGAAAAATATTTAAAAATATACTAAAATATCAAAAAATACAAAAAACATTAAAATAAAAATTCAATAGCTTTCGTATTTTGTGTGAATTTTTTAATTTTTAAAATTTTTCAACAGATATTATACTTTTAAGTGTATTTATTAGGTGTGTTAAAAAAAAGATTTAAAAAAAAACTTGCTAAAAATATTAAAAAAAAGTTTATTGATAAAACATAAAATACAAAAATAAAAAAAAATAGAATTTTCTGAAAATCAAACCAAACCGCTATTGTTTTTCAAATTATAAAGGTGTGAAATTGTGATAGTTGGTGTGCCCTGAGGACCACATGTGTGTGGTAATATCGAGGCACCCCAATATTTCACATTAACCCTCAATATACCAAACATGTCCTCATCCCTAATGTCACACATTACCATCAATAAAAAGTGAGGATATACATGAAATAAAATAAAAGTACCATGATCAATTAACCCTAAAAACCTAACCAGGTCATGTCTGGCATTTTGAACTGTAACCAGAAGATAGGATTGAAATCTACAAAATCTTGCTCCTGAATATCAAGGACATTTCAAACGTGAAATAAAATATATAATTTTTAGGATATTGATAGATCGCATAACTATTACATTCCAAGCAGAAAATCTGCATAAAGTAAATGAACCCATAGGTGTATCGTTAAGACCGAAACCAACACTCACACTATACTCACACCTATATGACTGGAGCGCGGGGAAAAATAAACGACGATGTGCGGCTTATAGACAATAAGAAGTGGAGGCAGTGGGTAGAGTACTTCCTAATAACGATAATGGTACACACTAGTGGTCCGGCGCGCCACAGCACTGACGTCGTATGTGCCATCGTCAACTGAATGTGCGAGCTCACCTGGCAGAGAGAATAGAGTAGAAGGTAAACGAATTTTACTAGTGTAGGTTCATATTGTCGGACCAAATAAATACTGTAGAAATGTTAGAGAAGCCAATTTTTAACAGTCAAAATTCTCTTATCACTCCTCAAACTCAAAAGTGAAGCAAGGGATAGAACCATTTATATAGTCTGTCGGTGCCAGAGGAAATCAGAAAGAGTCCCATATAACCATATCACTGTGATCTTTAGTTCCACAGGCTTGAGTAACAACAGAACCCTGAGTCCAAAACTCTGACACCCATGATGACGGTCGATGGCACGAATTG